GACCTGATTCCCTGGGACCCCACCTTTCATCTGCGGCCTGATATGGAGAGAGCATACTCTACAGCCTGGTTTCCAGGGACCTGCAAAGAGTCACCCTGCCTCCTGTGCTCCCACACAGAACAGATGGACACATCCATTACCTGGAGCCTGCACCCCTGGCCCCCTGGCCCCCTGTGTCCTTCCTCTGCCCTTTGGGTTCTTCAGATCACACTGGCAAAGATGGCACATCCAAGTCATTCAACACACACAACCAAATGCTCTTTCCTTTGGACCTTGTAAAACTATCTGAAATCTCCCACACTTAAAAAAGAAGCCGGGAGGTGGTGGCGCACGCCTTTAATCCCAGCACTCAGGAGGCAGAGGCAGGTGGATCTCTCTGTGAATTCAAGGCCAGCTTGGGCTACAGAGCGAGCTCCAGGACGGGCTCCAAAAGCTACACAGAGAAACCCTGTCCTGAAAGACCAAAAAATAAAAAATAAATAAATAACAACTAAAACCCCCCAAGATAGGCCAGCCTCCAACTGACTACATAGCTGAGACGGGTTCTAACTCCTAACCCACTCCCCAAAGCTAGGATCACAGGCGTGCACCACCATGCCCCACACTCTCAGTCTTCCTAAGGCTTCTTCTCACTGCCAAAATGTCACTTCTCGAAGGTAATTTAGGGTAGGAACAGGATCAGGGCTGTTCTGCTTACCACTGTATTCCCAGTGCTTCGAACAGCATCTGGGACACAGCAAATCCTTGACAGTCAATGGCTGTGGATGTAATTCAGTGGTAGAGCCCCTGCCTAGAATCCCCCAGTGAGGGGCTGGGGTGTGACTCAGTGGTAGAGCCCCTGCCTAGAATCCACTGAAGAGGGGCTGGGATGTGGCTCAGTGGTAGAGCCCCTGCCTAGAATGAATGAACGAATGATTGAACACTAGGCCTACAGTGGTGAAGTTAGGATGCAGCTGTTATCAACTGAGTAACTCCCAGCAAGTCACTTGTCTCTAGGGCCTCTGAAAATATGACAATGATAGAATGGAGTGACTCAGTTGCTGTGTGGTCTAATCCACTCCAAGTTGAATCAGGCCTTGGGTCTCACTACATGCAGCACAAGCTGGTCCTGACCTTAGATTCTCCGGCCTCAGCCTCCCAAGTGCTAGGATTATAGGCGTGAGCCACCCACCACAACTGGCTGCAGTATATGTCTTATTGCTGGCATTTTTAGTATTAATTATAAAACAAGTCCCCACTTTGATATCCACTAGGTTGTTTGTTTGAAATCTGCAAGTTTCTGGCATTGTATGTTGGGTATGTCTCTCTTGCAACACTGTGAGCTCCACAGGAGAGTGATTTGATGGTTTTATTTCTGTGTTCTCAGAGCCAGGAACAAACGTGGTATATGGTAGGGGTTGTATTGTGGGGCAACGGGATGAAAGGAAAGACGGATGATAGGTGATATGTGGGTGGATGGATGTGTGGGTAGGTGAATGAATGGATAGGTGGAGGGATTGGTGGATGGATGGGTGAGTGGGTGGACAGGTGGATGGACAGTGGGTAAATGGAAGGCTCCCTCCCTTCATTCGTCCACTGAGACACTCAAACACTCTCTCCCCACCACCCACTGAGCCTCCTCCCGCCTTGCCCCACATACTTCCTGTGATGGTGATCCTCCTGCCCTGGTAGTACTCTCCTAGGGTCACGGCATTGCCCTGCTTGGTGGCCACCACCCTAACGGTGCGTACACTGTCCTGGCACTCCACATAGGGGTTGTAACCAGGGTTGCCAGCTGCCAGCTGGGCATTGATCTGGTTCTCCACGCTGGCAGGGGAGAAGGCATCGGCCACACGGTCTCTGCAGAACGACTTGTACTTCCAGATCACGATGGGGGATGAGATCGAGTTGCTCATCTGATAGGTGCAGGGCAGTGTCACTGGCTGGAACAGGATCACTACGTGGTAGGGGTCAGACACAGTCACCTGGATGGTGCTGGCAGGAGCTGGGAGAAAGAGGAGGGTCAGCCCAGTGGGTACCGCAACAGCAAGGAGCCACACTACCTGACAGTGTGTGCGGTTTTTTGTTTTTGTTTTTTTCATAGCACTTGGCATACTGGTCCTTAATCCCTTAGACTGGTGAGACAGATTGGATATGCCCATTTTATACACCCTTGGGGCTGAAAAGTGATAAATATGTAGCTCCACGGGCCAGGTCCCTGGAATACTCAGTCTACCTCTCCCTACTCAGAGACTCCTCAAAATGCACACCCAAACGCAGATAGAACCCTTCGGCCCCCATCCAAGCTAACGTTTATGTAGGTGAGCGCTGGCCAGCGGAGGGTGGTTAGAGGTTCAAAAGTCCACCCCACAGATACCCGGGAGGTGGGTGGGGTGGGGAGTCCCCAATTCCACACCCACTCCAAGCCAAGATAGTTTCTCAAGCTCTTCTTTCAGGAAACGTCTGATCTAGCCCTCGAGTGCTCTCTCCCCGTTACCCCAACACTTAGAAATCTTGGGGTGTGCCCAAGATTCCAGTGCCTGGCCTTTCCCGTGATCGGGAAGGCCTTGCTTCTGTCCCACAAAGGGTCCCCTTCTCCGTACAATTCTCAGGCTTAGGATCCCCAGAGTTTCACTTCCTGTTATCTCCAACAAAGGCGGAGGAGCGGCGGGCTGGACGCGCCAATAGAGGAAAGTCCCTACCTCTGGCCTACAGGGGTCTTCCCAACCAGGCGGGATCTGGTGGTCTCGAGTCTACGCCCCCGAACTGGCCATCACCCCCCACCCCCTTGGTTCCGACTCCTCCAGGACGGTAAAAGCCGCAGCCCTCTCCATCTATCTCCTGTAGTGCCCTCCCGCCGTCCCACAGCACCGGGGACCCCATTCCTTACCTGGACAGTAAGTGATGAGAAAAAGCCACAGGAAGAGCATGGTGGCCGGCCGGGAGCCTGGCGCCCCAGAACGCGCGCTGGGCGCCGGCGCCATCGCGGCCGTCTAGCAGCGACGGAGCCCGCGCGTCCCCTCCCAAGTATCCCGAGAGTAGGGGGCGCGGCGAGCACCAAGGCCGAGGAGGGTGCTTGCTCCACTCGGCCCCTAATCCAAGTCCATTTTCCCCACACAGAAGAAGTTCTAACCTACAAAAAAAACTTGGACGAAACTCATGCCTTCGGGTTTCCCAGGACAACTGACCCCGGCGCGCGGTGGCTCTCCGGGTCACTCCACCCCCTGTTCATTCCCAGGAATGGATCCGCCCAGGTACACAAGGGTGGGAGCCTTGGGGCTGGGCTTGGGGGTGGGCGGCGGAGGAGGGGCTTGCGGGCCTCCCTCCCCGGAAGTGGGCTGACTCAGGTGCGCTCCTGCCCCCAGGGCCTGAACCAAGTGACCGCTTAGCCAGGAGGGCTCCCGCACCCCAGGAGACCTGTGCAGCCACCTGCTGCGCTGGCCAAAGTTGATAGGACCGCGCGCTCCCTGAAAACAGAGACCCGCTGGGGGTGCTCCACCTGCCGAGAGGGGCCGGCCCTGCCGCGCACCTGTTCGCTGCCGGTCCACACCCCTGTCCCCGGCGCCGATGGACCCGCCTAGGTGCGCCCTGCGGGGAGGTGCCAGGCCCAGCTAGGTCCCGGCTGGCAGAGGCGTGTCGCTGACGCCGTCTGCCTTCCCACTCTCGTCCCGGTGGAGGAGGTGTCGCGGGGCTTTCTGGGCTCCCAAGTTGGATGACTCAAGGAATCAATGAGGTCCCCCTAGGAGGAATGCTCTGGCCCCGCAGGCGATGCTCATGGGGACAAAACCTTTGAAAAAGTTGCTGTCGTACTTTCTCAGTTTCCTTACTGCCCCCTTTCCTTAACTTGCTTCTTTTCCACCTCCCCCTCGGACATCCCTCACTCTAGGTCAGGCTTCCGGAAGTTCTGACACTTAAAGGCGCTGAGCCAAGACTGGAGACGGGGAGACCTGTTTCGGTTCAAAGGTTCCCAGGCCGTCACCTGCACCCGGGGCGCAGCCAGAGGCTCTCGCCCTTCTCAGCGTTACTCTGCTACCTCCTGGTGGCGCCGAGGAGAAACACAGCCTAGGAAATTATGAACTGGCCATTGCCTGGTGGGTTGGGAACCCTATCATTTTCTTGTGTGTCTTGTAAAACTTGTGTCAGGTCACATGCTTCCTCTCAGAAACCTCCCGTAGTCCCTCCTTACTCCCAAGCAAAATTCAGATACTCATACTGGCCTGATTGTCCCTCCCCAACGTCACTTTGCGCTCTTCGCTTCGTTGACGTCAACCACACTGGCCTGGTTGGTCCTGAATCAGACTTTCACACATGTCTGGTTTCGCTACCAGAATTCCCTTCCTGCTGCGGATGCCTCATCCCATTTTCCTTAGGGCCGCATTCAAAGGCAAAGGCTTCTCATAAAATTTCACCCTGCTCATGAGCCATCATGCTTTTTAAATATAGAGGAAATCGCCATAGCCATCATTTTTAAATCAGTAGTATGCGTTACTGTATGTTTTGTACACGTCACTATTATCAATATGTTATTGATATTTAAGACTTGGTCATCCACCATCTTCAACATAGGAAAGAAAAAAATCTGTATTAGATTAGAACCCACTCTAGCCACCCCATTTTCACTCAACAGTTTTACAACGTGAAAGTCTGAGAGTAGGGTTTCAGCATATATCCCAGAGCAGGCTTATCCTCAACTAATCTCTCGCGTCGGCAGCAGTAAGCTTGCTGCCTTAATTTTAAACGCCCTTTTTTGTCCTGTCCCAGTTAAGTTGTTTGTGTGAAAAATGTGCAGTTGGGTTCCGGAGGGTGCTGGGGATCAGTTCCCCTGTGGTTTTTCCTGTTTGGAAAACAGTGTCCGGCTTGCCTACAGATACAGAGTAACCATTCCTTGACTCCTGCTGTTAGAGGGGTATATAAACTCCATGTTGGTACGAGTAAAGAGAGCTGCTTCCCTGACGAACTGAAACTGGGTGTCTAGAGTGCTGTTTAACCTCGGAGTCTCTCTCCAGATTTCGTGCTCCAACTGCGCAGGTCGTGGCAAGTGGAGGTTCCATCGAGACTTGGAAAGAAGGGGTATGCGTACGAGGCTCACCTTCACAAAGGAAGGGGGAGGATTGGATGTAACAGAGTAAAATAGGGTACGTACCATGGGTAATTCTGCAAAAGCTCAGTTGGCCACTGAGGAACAGGAATTAAGTTAAGTAAATAAGGAACAGGAATTAAGTCTAGCACCGCACTCACATTTGTGGACACCATAGCTGAAGCGAGTCCTTGGTTTCTGACGGGAGGAGGTCTGAATATTCCAGATTGGGAACAAGCAAAAAGAGATTTACAAAAGATGTTACAAGAGAAAGGGGCAGATAAATTTCCTATAGCTGCATTTTCTCTATGGAGACTTGAGAAAGATGCTCTTCTGACTGATAAAGTGAAAGTGAAAGAGCAACTTTCAGAGTGCGAGCAAGCATTTGCTAACGCTCAGGAGGCGGAGATGAATGAATCTTTGAAAGGGGAAAAGGAAGAGGTCGAGGTCCCCTGTAAAGAGCGTGTAAGGATTTTTTTTTTTTTTTTTTTTTTGGTTTTTTGAGACAGGGTTTCTCTGTGTAGCTTTGCGCCTTTCCTGGGACTCACTTGGTAGCCCAGGCTGGCCTCGAACTCACAGAGATCCGCCTGGCTCTGCCTCCCGAGTGCTGGGATTAAAGGCGTGCGCCACCACTGCCCGGCGAGCGTGTAAGGATATTTGTGAAAGATTTAATGGATGAGGAAGAAGACGATGATCTTGCCTCTGTATCAGATTTAGTAGAGGAGGAAGAGCAGCTAGAAAAAGAGACAGAGGAACTACAACAGAAGGTGCGCCGTGCAAAAGTGAAAGCACAGTCAGCACCTTCTGCTCCTCTGTTGTCTCGACCCCCGCCAAGAAATCCTCATTGGATAGGGAGGAAAAAGGATCAGAGGACAGATATAGGCAAAAAAAAAGGGGTGGTGGTGGTGGTGTGCATGAAACATATCCAGTCATTGAAACTCAGAATCAAGCTGGACGGGTGGTCCGGGAGCTTGTTCCTTTAACTTTAAAAGATGATGCCTCGGGGAGAAGGGGAGCCATTATGGAGTTTAGTAAGAAATCCACCTGTGTTACTGCCTGTGCGTATTGATAGCCCTGTTTTTCCTGCTGTATTTTCTTCTAATTGGACAATTGGTACTGCTGCCAGCAATGTAAAACTCCAAGAAGGTTTTGTAAATATTACTTTGCAGTTTAAAAAAAAATGCTCCTTGTTTTGAGAAAAATAGTACAGCTGGCAAGAATAATACCAATGCTATCTCCTTGAATCTGAAAGGCAGCTTTCATGATTGCCTAGTCCTGAGTAATACTTCATTGGCAGACTTTGTAGGTAGTTCCAGCACGTCCCATGCTGTGGGTCTCCAAGTGCTCCTTTCCCTTTTGCTGTTTGGAATGGTGATGTGGGAGAGAAGGGACTACTAAACTGTTCAGTTCTAAATTGTAGCTTGAATAATTGCTGGAGTGCAAATTGGTCCCATGCAGTGATTGTGAGAATACCTGCATTTGCAGTGATGCCTCTGGAGAGTCCTTCTGATCAGTTTCCACTGCAACTGAAGAGGACAGGAAGAGACTTTGGCATTACTGCCGCAATTGTTGCAGCTGTGGCTGCATCTGCTGTTGCTGCTACAGCTGCTGGGCTTGCATTATCTCAGACTGTTTAACATTATCTGAGAGGGTGGCTGGTGCCTTGGACATTCTGCAAACATTGAATGGACAATTACACTTTGGAATTCTGATGCTTAATCAGCAAGCAGCACTGTTACAAGAACAAATAGATATGTTGTGGAAATGCCAACATATGTTATGTGCTTATGGAATGTCAGAAGTTTGTATAACCCCTCATGCAGCTTTTAATGCATCGGCCAAGGTTGCAGAATTGAATGCTTGTTTGTGAGGGCCTTGGAATGGAACATTTTTGAACTATACAATTCAGTTATCACATGCCATTGTAAAGATTAATGAAACTAGAGTTGTTCCTGTAAATAAGCAGACCTGGTGGTCATTAATGTCTAAAGCTGCTGGGTGGATCACTGGATGGGCAGGGTCTGTTTCCCTCTTATTAATCTGTGCAGGTGGTATGGGAATTGGGTTATTTCTGCTATGCCAGTGGCAACGCCAGTTCATTCGACACTGACAGGTAATCAAGCAAGCCCTTCTGGCCATGTCACCCTCTGAATCTGCACAAGTGTGGTTACAAATGTTGGACAGATAGTACCCAGAGACAGACAACTCCTGTGGTCCTCGTGCAACCTAAGGCAGGGGGCGTAAGGGCAGCCCCCTATGATGGGTAAGTTTGGGGATTGCAACAGGTGACCTAAGGCAGGGGCTATCTGATCTTCCACAGGCTGTTCTAGCCTATGTGTTCCATTTGAAAATAAAAAGGGAGGACATGTCGGCAGCAGTAAGTTTGCTGCCTTAATTTTAAACGCCCTTTTTTGTCCTGTCCCAGTTAAGTTGTTTGTGTAAAAAATGTGCAGTTGGGTTCCAGAGGGTGCTGGGGATCAGTCCCCCTGTGGTTTTTCCTGTTTGGAAAACAGTGTCCGGCTTGCCTACAGATACAGAGTAACCATTCCTTGACTCCTGCTGTTAGAGAGGTATATAAACTCCATGTTGGGACGAGTAAAGAGAGCTGCTTCCCTGGCGAACTGAAACTGGGTGTCTAGAGTGCTGTTTAACCTCGGCGTCCCTCGCCAGATTTCGTGCTCCAGCTGCGCGGGCCGCGGCACTCTCTCCCACTTTTTCCTCTTTGAATCATTTACTGTCATCTGATATTTTACAAGTCATATTTTCACCATTTATCTTGTCCCGTCCTAAAGACAATATTGCTTAGTAAATATTCCACCCCTACGTTTCCCGGCCCTTCTGTAGTTCTGTGGGGCTACATGGTCAGTTGTAGTTAGTAGCATATAAGCAAAAGTAAAGAGGGTTCCCCCTCCCAGTCCAGAGCATTTAATCAACAGTATGTGGCACAAGAGCCCCCGCTTCCCCTACCAGAGCAACCAGTGTTGTTGCAGACGGCAACTGTGGGGACCTTTTGGAAGAGCACTCTTCACAATGCTGAGTATGAATGTGAAAAAAAAAAAATGGGGTTATGAAACGAAAATTCCAGAATGATGGAATCTTGACTGTCACGATTAGTACATCCCATTGACACTGAGGGGCTGATTTGATGACGATTTAAGCACTTTCCTATCTCCAGGAAGTCCATGGCTTCCGCTGGACTTCAGAAATAGTAGAGGCCAGTATCTCCCCATTCCCCTTTTGATGGACACGCAGCCCTTGACCCATTCTTCAGGTCAGGCCCTTTTCATCTCTGAGACAAATGCTTGTGAGAAACAGGGTTCTGGTTTATTTGCTTGTTTTGTTTTTTTAAATCTTTTTTTGGGGGCTCACAATTTCAAAGGTTTCTGGGCATGGTTAGCTGGCTGCATCATTTGGAGGAATGCATTGCATGGTTGGTGAGGCAGAGAACTAAGGATGCTGCTTGCTTCCTGGAGGCCAGGAGACAGACAGGCAGACAGGAAGGGGCCAGGGACAATATAGACCTAAGGACTGCCCTGCTTCTGCCGACTGGGTTCTACTTCCCAGTGATGAACCAGCCTGACTCCATCTTAAGATTAAAAGCCATCTTGTTACAAGGTCAAAATAAGTTCAACCTGTTTTCTGTAAAACTTGGATTTGACCATGTCTTGGTTCATTTTCTGGAATTTGACATGTTCCATACCCTATATCCTGACCCCTACCCTGATAAGATGTTCTGCCAAATAATTTTGAGATGTTCCTCCACATTCCTACATAACCAAAAATCCTTGAAAACCCCTTGGCCTTGAAGTTTGGGGGATAATATAAGCCCACTTTCTCCTATGTTCGATGCTAAACTCCACTTTTAACGAGATAGCCCCATCTGTCAGAAAATAAAGCTTGCATAATCTGACCAAAGAATTTGGATAATGGTCTTTACTATCATTTGATGGACCGTCCTAAAGACAATACTGCTTAGTAAATATTCCACCCCTACATCTCCCGGCCCTTCTGTAGTTCCATGGGGCTACATGGTCAGTTATAGTCAGTAGCATATAAGCAATGCATATAAACACTAAAGTTATCAACACCATCAATATTAGCACCACCATCTGGGACCCAAACGTGGGAACTGTGGGGGATGTTTGGATTCAAAGCACACCACTATCTTCATGTCTTGGACATGTAATGGTGAATAACTTGCCTTTTGAGTTCATTCTGTCTACTTCCTGGGGATAACTTACACACACATATTTCATTCAGTTTTTATTTTATATTCATGTGTCTGCCTGCGCGTATGTCTGTGTCCACAGGAGCCAGAAGAGGGCATCAGATATTCTGTGGTTGGAATCACAGACAGGTGTGGGCTGCCATGTAGGTGCTGGGAATCAATCCCAGGTCCTCTGGAAGAGCAATCAGTGCTCTTTAACTGTTGAGCATCTCTCCAGCCCACGTTTTATAGATTTGATGTGTATTTCTGAAAACTCGCTGGACTGTGGTTCACAGGGCTAAACATTCCAGTTCTATGGGTGATGTCACAGTACCCAAGAAGGTTTTAAAGTTCCTTCTGTACTCTTACTCAGCCATGCTGGCCACTCTGTGGCTGGTTATTCTTTCTCTTCCCATGCTGTGGGCCCAGAAACTAATCAACTGTCCCTACAAGAATGTGTGCCAGTACGCCCTGCTCTCGGGCAATGACGTGATCCTGGGGTGTAACCACCACAAAGCCCTATGGTATTTCCATTCGTCCTTGGAGGACAAACTGTCCATGCTCAGCTCCATGTCTAATGTGAAGATACTGCCTGGGAGCAATCTGCAGTTATCCAACCCTCAGCCCTTCCAGACGGGGCTCTACCGCTGCCTAGATGGTCACATGACCCGGGTGGTGGAATATGAGATTGACTTTCAGGATATAGCTCTGCTGCATATTACACACAAAGATCTGGGCCAAAAGCCCATGGGAAACGAGACCATGAACCTAGGAGGCGAGGTACTCGTTTTCACCCGCTGGGATCCTTGGCAAGATTGTAACCGTTGTGAAAAGCCTGGTGAGCGCAAACGTCTAGGCTACTGCTATGTGGAGGAGCCCCTAGGGAAATCCATGCCCTGCTGGCTCTACCTGAGAGGGGAGAAGGTGACCCACAACCGCCTGCAGCCTGAACTCCAGCTACAAGCCTGCCAGGTGCCCTGTGAAATCGCCACAGAAATCGACCAGCCGTACTTCGTCTTTGACACTCATCAGCTGGACAAAAACACCAACTATGAGTGGCTTAGCTGTCCTTTGGCTTCCATCTACAGGTAACCAGAACAGGGCCAACAGCCCTTCTCTCGGGCCTCCATCAGTGCTGGTCTCTGGGGGCTTACTGCTGCTAGAGGTCTCCATCCAGTAGACAAACTCTTCCTCCACACCCAGAAGCCTTCACGGTCCGTGGGAGCCTAGAGTCACTGGTTTGCTTAGATATTTCCACACCAGAAATCTCCTCTGAACTGGGATCTGGGCAAGAGAGTCGGAGGAAGGTGGTGACTGAGCAAAGACCTATTCCCTGCCCACACAGGCAACCTGGAGCCAGAGACTCAGGCCCAGGCTCATCCGTGTAAACATGGATGTGGGTCCTGTATGCTGAATGGACCCTGATGAATATGGTTTGCCTCTCTCTCCTTATACCAATGCCATGTGTTTTAGACCTTTCTCTTTCTTTTTCTTTTTTTGAGACAAGGTCTCACTGTACAGCCCTGGCTAGCCTGGAACTTGCTATAGACTCAGGCGGGCTTTAAACTCACAAGAGATCTCCCTGGCTCTGCCTCCTGAATATAGGCATGAAAAGCATGCAGCACCACACCTGGAACACATTTGGTTCTTCCTCTGTCAATATTTTATGTAAGTAGGCGAAGGGTCATGATAGTACGTAATAATTATCCGACAAAGAAGGATCAACAGCTGTGTATTGCATGCAAAAACTATTGGTAAAAACAGATTTATCAGGACAGCCAGAGCTATGTAGTGAGACCCTATCTCAAAAAAGTAAGCAAGTAAATAAAAGCCAAAAACAAACAAGCAAAACGAAACAAATAACCAAAATCAGAGACTTAGAGAACTTTCTGGAAGACAGCTTATTCGTTCCCTGGTGACCGTCCTTGGTTATTATAACTGAGGAGGATAGTGTGGTTCCTTTTAATTGCTTTTTTTTTTTAAAATCCTCGTAAGACTCACATAGTTACTTTTTAATGTAAGATTTATTTTTATTTTATGTGCATGTGTTTATGTGCACTCCATGTGTGTAGTGCTTACAGAGGCCAATGGATTGCCTGGAAATGGAGATACAGAGGTGATGGCCCTTCATGTGGGGCCTGGGAATCGAACTTGGGGCCTCTGGAAGATCAGCTAATGTTTTTAATGGCTCAGCTAATTCTCTAGCCCTTAAATCAGTGGTTCTCAACCTTCCTAATGCTGCGACCCTTTAATACAATTTCTCATGTTGTGGTGATCCCCAATCATAAAATTATTTTTGTTGCTACTTCATAACTGTAATTTTGCTATTGAGTGGTGTCTGAGTTCCTAAGACCATTGGAAATACATGTTTCCCTATGGTCGTGACCCACATGTTGAAAACCGTGCCCTAAATGGTTCCTCTAAAATGAAAATGTTGACTTCAGGCATGTGAAGGTCATTGGAAGGTCCCTCTCCACTTGACTCCCTGGGTCAGGTTCTGTTGTTAATCTTGGTCTTTCCCAGTGGGTACTTGTTTTGTGGCTTGCATTTTTTCCTCCTTTTCATTCTGTCAGACTGGTGGTTTAAAATGAGAAATTTGAGGGGGTGGGCTGGAGAGATGGCTCAGAGGTTAAGAGCACTGACTGCTCTTCTAGAGGATCTCAGTTCAATTCCCAGCAACCACAACCATCTTTAAAGAGATCTGGTGCCCTCTTCTGGCATGCAGGCGTACATGCGGGCAGAACACTATATACATAATAAATAAATAAATCTTAAAAAAAAAAAAAACAAAAACACTTGATCGCCAGTTGGTGGCACCATTTGGACAAGGTCCAGGGAGGAGCGGCCTTGCTGGAGGAAGTCCATCATTGGAGGCAGGCTTTGAGAAGTTAAGGCCTCACTCCACTTCCCCTTCCTTCTCTGCTTTGGAATGGGTTGGAAATCTGATCTCTCAGCTTCCTGCTCCCACTGGCATGCTCGCTGCTTGCTGTTAAGCCTCCCCTCCATGGTAGTCAGCCCTCTAGGACCGTAAGCCCAAATGCACTCTTCATTCTGTAAGTTGACTTGGTCACAGTGTTTCATCACAGCAACATAAAAGTACCTGACACAGCTTGATTCTGGGGGCCAGATCCACATTTGTTGTTTCGTTCCAGAGGGAGACAGTTGATTGTGGAAGACGTGGTAGCAGGCAGGGAAGGCATGTTAGCAGGAGCAGGAGGCTGGCTGGTCACACTGCATACTGTGTGGGGATACAGTCCGTCATGAAAGTGCAGATGTGGTGTGGTTGGCTCCGTGGTGGCTGGATCTCCTCACCTCATATCTTGGGACGAGAAGCAGAGAGCAGCTGGTTGTAACATATTTGGAAGCACTTGTTGGTAACTGTTTCTGGGTGTGTGTGTGTGTGTGTGTGTGTGTGTGTGTATACATAAACTTTATATTACTGAGTTAACTTCTTTAGTTGCAAATATAAAACTGTTGCTTTTTTCTTGTGATAGTGTTGTCGAATTTTTTTTTTCCCACAAATTTACCCATCAAACATCAAGAAGTTTTGGCTTTAGCCTCTTCCAGTGATTTGAATGAGAATGATCCCTATAGGCTCATAGATTTGAATGTTAGTTCACCAGGGAGTGGTACTATTTGAAAAGGAAGTGTGGCCTTGTTGGAGGAAGTGTGTCACTGGGGGCGGGGTGGGCTCTGAGGTTCTCAAAAGCCCAAGCCAAGCCCAGAGTCTGTCTCTCTTCCTGCTGCCTGTGGATGCAGATGTAGAACTCTCAGCTTCTTCTCCAGCACCATGCCTGCACGCTGCCATGCTCCCTGCCATGATGATAATGCACTGAACTTCTGAACTGTCAGCCAGCCCCAATTAAATGCCTTCCTTTTTACGAGCTGCCGTGGTCATGGTGTCTCTTCACAGCAATAGAACACTGACTAAGACACCTGTATATAGCTGTAGTATGTTTTCATTTTTATTTTATTTTATTTTATTTTATTTTTTTTGTGGCTAGCCCACTCAAGGCTTTGAGCATTCTAGAACACTCTACCACCAAGCGATATCATTCCCAGCTCTTGGCCTTTTGAGGCAGGGTTTCATTAGCCCGGACTTGCCTTGAAGTCAGTGTCTTCCTACTTCTGCCTCCTAAGTACTGGAATTATAGGCACACCCCACCATTTTTAGTTCCATTCATTATCTTTTTATGTCTGTAGGAGCAGTTCTATTATTTTAAGTTAATCCCAGCATTTGGGAGGCAGAAGCAGGTAGATCTCTGTGACTTTGAGGACAGCCTGGTCTACAAAGAGAGTCCAGGCCAGCTAGGGCTACACAGTGAGACCCTGTCTCAAACAAACAAACTAAGATCTTCAGGATGGCTCAGTGGGTAGAGGTGCTTGCCACCAAATCCGATGACCTGAGTTTGGTCCCCAGAATACACATGGTGGAGAAAGAGAAATGACTTTGACACACTGTTACCATGCTACATGTGAGCCTGTAATCGTACCCATGCTTGTGCAGGTACACCCAATGTTGTCTTAACATTCTCCTCCGAGATTGACACATCCCACCCTGCAGGGAAGCTCCTTAAGCAGGAAGGCAAACAGCTCAAAACAGCTTCCGGAAGTCCCGAAACTGACCAGATTCGCTAGGCCCCGCCCTGCCAGAGTTAGCAATAAAAGTTACAGAGAAGGTTCTGAGACCACACCAGCTGCCTGGAAGAAGCAGAAGTGAGCTGAGCTGCCTGAAGAGGTACCGAGGCACAGGGAGAGGACACTCTCCATGCTGTTGAGCGGCCTGCGGGCTGTGCAGTGGGCTCCAGATTCCCAGCTGTGTGAGCTGTCACCCCTGCTGGGGTGGGCCTTGGTGATGCAGCTGTCTGTGAGTCATTTCTGCTCCTGTAAATGACCCCAATAAAACTCACTGGTTCACCAAGTTGAACTTCAATGGTATCCGTACCTTGGACACGGACTCCCTATCTGGGATGAGTAGACGTGTGTGTGTGTGTGTGTGTGTGTGTATGTGTGTGTGTAGCAACTCCCCAGGAAAAGATTTGTCACTCAACACACACATACACATAAGTAAATAAATATAATCAACAGCAGAAACTAAAGTAACCAAACCACTCGCCCCCCCCAAAAAAAATCAGGTAGTTTTAAACAAAAAGCTCCATAAAAGCTCAATTCTGTGTGGACTAGCTGAGGACATTCAAATGGCCAGAGGCTGTTTCCTTTAGGAGCAATTACTCCACGTTCATCTTTCTAGCAACTTTCTAAAATGTAATTGCCATGACGGCCAGGGATGGTAACATGTGACCTTGTGTGATATGAAGGCGGCAGAAGCCTTGCTTCTTTATTCAGAGTGACGACTGCATTTGCTAGTCACCAAACATCTGTGCAGTGGATGGACCATAGAAAATCATGCCCTGTCAGGTGTTTGTGTGTGGGGAGTGTTGGCTGAAGAAAGGGGGTCACTCCAAGATGAATTTTAGGTTCTCTGACAGCAGGGAGAAAGTTTCTGTGAACTGAGCCTCGAACAGCTGTTCCACGGCTTATTTATTGATGGTTACACAAACGTAGCTCTTCTGGGTAAAACAAGTTCCTCATCCCAAAGCTCCTGGTCTAATCTACATGTTTTTCTGAGGGAAAACACCACACCTCTGCCACTTCAGTCCTTCTCATGTACTGTTTGCAGTGCCCAATAATTCAAGCTATCCAGGTGTGCCAGGATAGTCCTGTGACCAAAGCCACGCCAAGGCTGCACAGCTCCTTCAGGAAAGCAACTCTACAGGTAACAGAAACAGTCACTGATTTCCACAGTGATTTCCTCCAGGTCTAAGGACTTCTAGAAAACAACCATTCGTTCTGATGTTTACCCGAGATACAGTGAAAAACAGCTATTTTGTTCTAATGTTTACTCTAGATACAATGGCTCTACTGGAGTTTCACCACAGTGCCTGAATCACCTCAAGTTTCCTGTCTGAGAAAAGCGCTTAGGGAAAGATTTGGGGCAGAAGAAACTGTGACCAATATGTATTAATTTAAGATCAATTGAATTTTGCAGCTATCTTGAGGGAAGAGTTAGGGACCAATCTGTCCAAAGGCCCTGAAGCCAGAATGCCTCTGCTTGGCTGGAATGCTCCAGAAGACAGGACAGAAGTTAACATGAATGGGGTGGCCAGAGAGGTATGGAAATCAGAACAAGGACCAGCAAGGATTTGGCCTATCCTCAGGGTTAAGAAGTGTGTCAGGGGGCTGAAGAGATGGCTCGGTGGTTAAAAGCACTGGTTCTGTGACTCCAGGAAATCCTGCGCCCTCTTCTGGCTTCCTTGGGTTTAAGGCACACATGTGGTACACAGACACACATGCAGGTAAACATCTATACACATAACATTCAAAATTATTTTTCAGGGATTGGGGCTGGAGAGGTGGCTCAGTGGTTAACAACACTGGCTACAAAAATGCCCTCCCTCCCCTCACTCTTGCCACCTGTGGCAGGTGAGAGAGCTGGCCCTGCCCCTCACCAGCCGCAGCACACAGCACGCAGGAGAGTGGGCACGGGACCTCTCCTGGCAGCACACTAGAGCTGACTCAGTTGTTAGGGGCGCAGGTGAGCGGGCCTGTGGGCGTGAGAGCAGGAGAGCTGCCCCTGCCCTCTCCCTCATATGCCATGGGGTGGCAAGGGTAAGGGAAATAGGTCCTCCCCGTGTCACTCCTTCCCACCTGTGACAGGCAGGGGAGCGGCCTCGGGGCATGAGAAGGGAAGAACAGGCCCCGCCCCTCACCAAGTGCAGCAAACTGGAGAGTGCGCCCTGTGCTTCACCACCGCCAAAACACAGAGCTGGTCCTGGTGATATGAGTACGGATGAGCTGGACCTGAGGGCGTGAGAGCAGGAGGGCTGGCCCTTCTCCCCGCTCTCTGCTGCACTGGGTGAGCTGCAGGGGCAGTGCTGGAGAGCGCCCCCTGGTGGTAAAGATGAGGGAAAGCCGGCGGTCTCACTAACCCAGTTACCACCCAGGCCCAGAACCAGGACTGTGAGATACCCCACCCCAACACCCACCTCATCTGTGAACTGCTGGAGCATGTGAAGACCTGCAGATCCAAAGCTCCAGGAGCTCCATGACACAAGACAACAACAGGATACAAGAGGAGTCCCAGTGAGGGCCCAGTGTCCATAGTGCAGCAGAAGCCAGCGGCCTCGAACCAGACCAATGACTCACTGCGATGAACACTCACAAGTAAAGATGTATGGACTAAAGGGTAAACTGTGGGACTCACTGGGCCACACTACAGCTTCCACGCTGAGATATTTTGTTGTTGTTTTGGTTTGGTTTTTGGCTTTATTTTTAAATTTTGATTTTTGGGGGAGGTTGCAAGGGCAAAGGGTAGAAGTGAGGGGACAGGGAGATGAATGGGATTGGGATGCATAATGTGAAATTCACAAAGAAAAAAAAGTTAAAAAAAAAAAAGAACACTGGCTGCTTTTCCAGAGGGTCTGAGTTCAATTCCCAGCACCCACATGGAGGCTCACAACTGTCTGTAATTCTAGTTCCAGGGGACCTGACACCTCTTCTGCTCTCCAGGATCCTGTACACACACACACACACACACACACACACACACACACACACACGGACACGGACACGGACACAAAAACTCACACAAACACACATATATAAACATGAAAATAAAACTAGTTTTAAAAAGTAGAGTGTGGAGCTGGGCGGTGGTGGCGCATGCCTTTAATCCCAGCACTTGGGAGGCAGAGTCAGGTGAATCTCTGGGAATTCAAGCCCAGCCTGGTCTACAGAGTGAGATCCAGGACAGGCACCAAAACAACATGGAGAAACCCTGTCTTGAAACAACAACAACAAAAAAGTAGAGTGTGGTGGCACACACCTTTAATCCCATCATCAGGAGGCAGAGGCAGGCAGATCTCTGTGAGTTCAAGGCCAGCCTGGGCTACAGAGTTCCAAGGAAGTCAGGGCTGCACAGTGGGACAATGTGTTTGGGACATAGTCCACACATGCAGGAACAGTATGCTGAATGTTCACGTGTGTGACACCAGTGCCACTGCCTAGGCTTGAAAATCCCCTCTTGGGAATGCAGATGACAGAGAAAGACCCTGACTAGACAAATGACATCCCAACTTGTCACAAAGGGAGGTGGTGGCATATAGCCTTTGTTCACCCCCCTGCTCGACTGAGGCTTGAGTTCATGAATGACCTCACAATGTCCAGGCTGGTGGCCAGTGCACAGCCACCTTCCCAGTCCACCATGCTTACCATCCTGTGGATACTGCTCAGCTTTGTGCTCCCCGTGTTGGGGCTCCACCTTCCTGTCAGCTGTCCCCGGGCCAAGGAATGTCAGCTGGCCCTCCTTTCCAACAACGATGCTCTCTTGGAATGTAGCATCTCCAAGGCGCACTGGTTCTTCTTTGGGCTGGACACAGGTGACAAGCCCATTAGCCTCGCCATTATTTCCAATACAAAGCAGAATCCAGACGGTAGTCTCCTTATCAAAGACCCATCGCCCTTCAACACAGGCCTCTACGAATGCCGGGACAAGAATGGAAACCAAGTGACTGGGTATAAGATTGATTTCCAGGATATCAAAAGGCTGCATGTCACGCACATAGACCTGGGTCAGAAGCCCCTGGCAAACGCAACACTGAACCTGGGCCACAGAGAGGTACTGTACACCCGGTGGGAACCTTGGCAGAAATGCAACAGCTGTAAGAGCCAGGGCGAGCGCAAACGCCTGGGTTACTGCTATGTTAAGGAGCCTCTGGAGGAGCCCATACCCTGTGGGTTCTACTTGGGAGAGACAAAGAGATATTATGACCGAGTAAAGCCTGAGATGCAGGTGGAAAACTGCCACGAGATGTGCCAAGGCCCTCCGACGGGTGGGGACTATGTCATCTTCGATAACTTCAGGCTCACGGAGTCAGATTCTGCACAGCTCACCTGTCCCTTTGCATCCATCTACAGGTGACGAGACCCTTTCACCGGCTCTGCCCCTGGTCCCTTGTCCCAGGGTTCTTCATGGTAAACCTGTGCCGGGTAGGTCAGTCCCATTGGTAGTCATCAGGAGTCAGTGAGAGCATGGGAGGAAGCCAAGGATGCTGGAACACACCTCTCTGAAACATACAGCAAGAGTATGTGTACAAAAGTATATTGATTGTAGGGGAAGATTTTTTTTAACCTCCTTAAGAGTCTCACGCTCTTTAATTTCTCTATTGTTTGAAATGATAAGATTCTTCAAAGATTCAGGGGACCGTGCTGCTCGCTGATTGCACGGCTTTAAAGACATCATTAAAGTTTTCTCTGGAATGTGAATCCCATGGATGCATGTTGTGGTGACCTATAAAAGAGCAGGCTCCCGTCGGCTTTCGCTTCTCATTGAGTTCTTCCGGTTAAGTCTGTTAAGTTGGACTTTCCCTCTTAACTCTGGTAGTTTATTCACCCAGCTTGTTAGATTCACATAGAGGAATCTTCAGGATTAATTTGTTAAAATCATTTTTAATGCAGCATTACTCATGAGATAGTTTGTGGTTGTATGTGAGTGAAGATTGTGAATATTTCAAAGGCAATGTGAATGTTTTAAACTTAGTATTGTTTCCTCTTCTTTTTAATTATATGCTATAACTATTAAGCTTTTTATTAAACCAAATAAAGTCATAGTACTTAACATGAAGAAAAGCAATCTCACAATTCTATAAAATTATGTTAAAATATGCTCGAAATGACAAAGAAAGAAATTTTTTGTTTTGTTTTGTTTTTTCCAGACAGGGTTTCTCTGTGTAGTTTTGGTGCCTGTCCTGGATCTCCCTCTGTAGACCAGGCTGGCCTCGAACTCCCAGAGCTCTGCCTGGCTCTGCCTCCCGAGTGCTGGGATTAAAGGTGTGCGCCACCGCTGCTGGTGACAAAGGAAAATTTTTATTATTTATTAATGTGCTTTTGTGATTTTTAAATATTCAGAATTAGTGGCAATACTTAAAGTGTGTGTGTGTGTGTGTGTGTGTGTGTGTGTGTGTGTGTGTGTGTGCATTGTCAGAGTACAGTGTTACAGCTAAAGGGCTGACCAAAAGGGATTGAAAGCTGAGTCAGGCATGGTGGTGCACAGCTCTGATCCTAGCACTGGGGATGTCCATTCAGGCAGATCTCTCAGTTCGAGGCCATCCTGATCTACATATCAAGTCCTAAGCCAGCTAGGGCTACACAGTGAGACCCTGTCTCAAAAAAGGAGGAGGAATTGAAAGCTACTTTAGACTGATAAAGGATGCATGACTCAGCTGCTACCTTTATAGATGGCTTCCTGTCTATCAGTATTCGAAGCTCCTTTGTATTTGAGAATGATCAGAAAGAGGCCCAAGTTCATGTAATCCCAGAAACCCCTTCTTTATTTTTTTAGAGATGTATTTTTATTTTAGGTGTTGAGTGCTTGGCCTGCATCCATGTATGTGCACCATGTGGGTGCAGTGTGCCCTTGGGGCCAGAAGAGGGCGGCAGCCGGTGCTTTTAACTACTGAGCCATCTGGTCAGCCTGAACAAAACCTTAATTAGATAGGGCCTAAAAGTTCCCTGAGTCCAAGATGTACACCAGGTGTTTCCTATTTCTCCCTAACTTGGGTCTTTTGCCTCCAACCTTTTTATCACACATTTGACTTTCATTCCTCAGGTATGGAGCAAAGGGCTGAGTGAGGACATCATTACAGGGTAGAGCAGGAGGAAGGATTTCCCGAGATTCTCTGTGAACTTGTTTTGCGCTTGAGTGTAGACAGACATTCTATAGCCCGGAGAATAAACCACAGCCATCAGGAGAGACCACGCGTCTCAAAGACTTTCCCCGTGTCTTCTGCAGGTCGTTCCTCTCAGCACACCCTTAGCAATGCAGGCGTAAGAGATCAAACCAAGTCCCAGGGGTGTGACCCACAGAAGACAGTAACCCTGGAGAGTTCATTTTCTAGGAAGGTTGTGTCCACACAAGCAGTTTTAAGCAGGCTTCTCACACACAAAATCATCCACCCTGGGATGGCTACAGAGAGGCAATTGGAAGATCAAGGTGGTCTGAACTGTAGACTCCACAAAACCACAGAACTGAGCCACTGCCAGAGGACCTTTTGGGTGCACGATGACCCCATAATGCAGAGGTTGGGAAATAGCTTCAAAGCAGTCACAGTGTCAGCAACACACACACACACACACACACACACACACACACACACACACACACACACACACTCTGTGGAGCTCAGTTCTAAAGTCACACAGAAGCGTGGCTAATTTTCTTCTCCGGCCTTTTGAGATTCCAGAGCATCTGCAGGAAGGTGCTTGGAGTAAAATGGAGGTCCAGGAAGGAGAGACTGAAGGGGAAGAAGGCGTGGGTGTGTGGAGTTTGAGGTTCGGGAATAAGACTAGTATAATTGCTATGGTCCCCATCAGTGTCAGAATGTAGGTGACAGAAATGGTTGGGAGAATCATCTCCAGCTAGGTCAGAAGAGCCCATAAGATAAAACCTTCTGGGTTGCTGATATTGATTCTTGTCATTGTTTTTTGTTGACTTTAGCTTACAAGTCATAGCCTCTTATTGAGGGAAGTCAGGGCAGGAACCGTGGAGGAATGCCGCTTGCTGGCTCACGGGTCCATGCTCAGCTAGCTTTCTTATTCAACCTAGGAGCACATACCTAGGGGATAGTGGACTGGACCCTCCTACATCAATCAAGACAATCCCCTACCGACGTGTCTGAGGGCCAATCTAATCTGGGCAGTCCCTCCCAGGTGATTCTAAGCTGTGTCAAATGGACAATTAGAGCTAACTAGGACAGGACTCCACTCTAGATTTGAGCTATTTGATTGATGCTTGAACAGATAAGATCAGAGAAGGCTGGGAAGGTGCCTCAGGCCCTAAGGAAGTATTCCGTGGAGACCTTCTCCCAACCTCCAACCTGGTTCTTGTCCTACCCTCCTCCAAGAATGGAGTGGACAGAGAGGGAAGGAGACATACCCGAGGAACTTGGTCGGTCTTCAAGGGAGAAAACAGTGTGGCAGTCTTGGTAGCAGCGGATGCTGAGAAACATTCTAGTGCTCAGCAGTTTACAGTTCGCAGGTCTCAGAGCACGGCGCTGCTGGCCTCAGAAGCAGTGGGTCTTGGAGAAGGGAAAGAAACGAAGGCACAAATTCATGTCTGTGGCACAAAGGAGTCTGGGGGTCTTGGAGTCTGAGGCGGGGAACAGTCTCTCTGCCTGCAGCTGCTGCCGGAGTCCTGGAGTGAGCTCCCCGCCTCGTGTGCAGGGAGCCTCCCAAGAGGCTTGGAGAAAATCTTCTTCCTCCTCCTCTGTTGACTCCTGCCGTCATTCTGTTCATGAAATTTCAGGGAGTCTGATTTTTGTTGTTTTGTTTGCTTGGATTTTTTTGTTTGTTTTTTTAGGTTTGTCATATATAGCCTTTAATTATGCAGAAGCATATTCCTCCCAGTCCTACCTTTTCTTTTCAAGAAATTTTGATCCCCCTCTTCCCTCCTCCCACCCCTCCAGCCTTCCCCCCCACCAACCTATCCCCCATTCCCTCCTCCAAGAAGGTAAGGCCTCCCATGGGGAGTCAGCAGAGCCTAGTGCATTCAGTAGAGGCAGGTCCAAGACTCTCCCCCTGTATCAAGGTGGTGCAAGGTGTCCCACCATTGGTAGTGGACTCCAAAAAGCCAGCTCATGCACCAGGGATGGATCCTGATCCTACTGCCAGGGGCCCCTTAAGCAGATCAAGCTACACAACTGTCTCGCTTGTGCAGAGAGCCTAGTCCAGTTCTGTGGAGCTCCACAGCTGTTGGTCTAAAGTTCATGAGTGTCCACTCGTTTGGTTTGGTTGTCTCTGTAGGTTTCCCCATCATGGTCTTGATGCCTTTGTTCATAGAATCCCTCTTCTCTCTTCAACTGGACTCCTGGAGCTTGGCCTGGTGCTTGGCTGTGGATCTCTGCATCTGCTTGCAGCCGTTACTGGAGAAAGGCTCTGTGATGACAGTTAGGGTATTCACTGATCTGATTACTGGGGTAAGCCAGTTCAGGCACCCTCTCCACTATTGCTAGTAGTTTAAGCTGGGGTCATCTTTGTGAATTCCTGGGAACTTCTTTAGCACCCAGGTTCTCCCTATCCCCATGATGTCTCCCTCTATCATGGTATCTCTTTCATTGCTCTCCCACTCCATTCCTGTTCCAGCTTGACCTTCTCATCCCCTTATGTTCTCATCCCCCATCCCCTACCGTCCATTGCCTATCCCTTATCCCCAGTTTACTCATGGAGATCTCATCTATTTCCCCTTCCCAGGGCTATCCATATGTTTTTCTTTGGGTCCTCCTTGTTAGCTAGCTTCTCTGGAGTTGTGAGTTGTAGTCTGGTTATCCTTTGCTTTACATCTAGTATCCACTTATGAGTGAGTACATACCATGTTTGTCTTTCTGAGTCTGAGTTACCTCACTCAGGATGACATTTTCTAGTTCGATCCATTTGCCTGCAAATGTCATGATGCCATTGTTTTTACTGCTGCATAGTACTCCATTGTGTATATGTACAACATTTTCTTAATCTGTTCTTCAGTTGAGGGGCATCTAGGTTGTTTCCAGGTTCTGGCTATTATGAATAATGCTGCTATGAACATAGTTGAGCATGTATCTTTGTGGTATGATTGAGCATTCCTTGGGTATATGCCCAAGAGTGATATAGTTGGGTCTTGAGGAAGATTGATTCCCAATTTTCTGAGAAACCGCCATACTGATTTCCACAGTGGTTGTACAAGTTTGCACTCTCACCAGCAGGGGAGGAGTGTTCCCCTTGCTCCACTGTTTCTCTGTGTAGCCCTGGCTGTCTTGGAAGTTGCACTGTAGACCAGGCTGGCCTCAAACTCACAGAGATCCACCTGCCTCTGCCTCCCAAGTGCTGGGATTAAAGGCGTGCACCACTACCACCTGGAGTCTGATTTTATAGAGGTGCCAGGGCACCAGCTGGGTCCTGATTGGCTGAGTGTGCCTATGCAAATAAGGAGAAAATAGGACCAATCAGTGTAGAGGTACCAAACCTGGTTGGAGAAGGAAGAACACAGGGCCCAGCAAAAGTTTCTAAAGTTTCGAGTCAGGTCTGCTCTGGGCTTGGTCTCTACAGAGGTGGGGACAGTTGTCCACATGACAGTGATGACACACACACGGGCTGCCTGCTCAGCCTCTGTCTGCAGTTAAGCTCGGGAGGGAGGTCTCTTAGCAGAGGTGATGTTTTTCTCCTGCCTATGCCGCTGCTGCATTAACAGCATGAGCAATCAACGGTCTCTGCCGGCTGCTTTGCCCTCAGGGCTCCAGCCTGCCTCGCTGTTGGAAGGCTCCATACTGGGGGCCCACTTACCCATGACAGTAACATGATGGCTGGATTAGTGTGAGGACCTGAGATCAGATCCCCAACACCCACCAGGCGTGACAGCGTGCACCTGCAACTCCAGCCCTGGAAGCTGGGAGGGCAGAGATAGGGGATCCTCGGAGCTCACTGGCTAGCCAGCCTAGCAGACTTGAGAGAGCCTATCTCAAGAAAAAAAGGTAAGGGAGCTGGAGAAGTGGCTCAGTGGTAAGGAGTGCTTACTGTTCTCTCAGAGGACCTGAGTTGGATTCCTAGCAGCCCTGTCTGGTGGTTCACAACTGCCTGTCACCCTAGCTCCAGAGGGACCTGCTCTCCTGGCTCCTGCACTCTGCATGCTGTGCATACACAGACACGCATGCACATACACAGACACATACACATGATGGCTTAGTCGTTCAGTTCCCAGCACCCATATGGCTGCCCACAACTGTCTGTAACTCCAGTTCCAAAGGATCCGACGATCTCTTCTAGCATCTGTGGAAACCAGGCACATGTGGTGCACACACACAGATGGAGGTAAAACACTCATACGCACAAAAAATAATAAATAAAGCCTTAAAAAATAAAGGTAGAGACATGGACCCCTGGCCTCCATGTGCACGTCTGTACATATATACATGTACACGCACTTCTGTACATGTACGCATACATGCATACATACACGAACACACGTAACGGTTGGGTACGAATTAAATGAATGTGCTTTGCTTTATGAGATGAGCATGAACTGTTGGAGGACAAAGTGAATTGTTAGTTTAGGTATAAAGGGTCCCTCCCCCTTCCCAAGAGCTCAAGTGTTGAAGGCTCGCTTACCAGCTGACAGGGTTTCCGGAAGGGATTGGATCCTGAGATTAACTCCTCGACAGAGTCATAATTTAATGGCACTGTAAGAGATGGTAGAAAAAGTGGGGTCTACCCTGAGGAAGTAGGTCAGTGGGGTATGCCTGAGAAAGATAGACTTGTGTCTACCTCCTTCCCATTTCTGTTCCGTGGCTTCCATGACGTAAATAGCCTCCTTGACTGCCTGTTCTGTCTGTCATGATATCCTGTCTCGCCTCAGGCCCAAAGCAATGAATCTGGCCAATCTTGAGAAAACTCCAAAACCATGGGCCAAATGTTTCTCTCTTCCTTCGTGTGTTTTTTCCGATGTGTTGTCCCCTGATTAGAAATCTGACCAACACAGGAGTTGTATTCGCTCACAGCATGAAGTACCACCAACTGGGGGTGGCTTAAGACAATAGAACTGGGGGCTGGAGGGATGGCTCAGCGGTTAAGAGCACTGGCTGCTCTTCCAGAGGACCTGAGTTCAATTCCCAGCACCCACATGGTGGCTCATGACAATCTATAATAGGATCTGATGACCTCTTCTGGCCTGCAGTTATACATGCAGAGCACTCATACATAAAATATTAATAAATAAAAATAAAATAAAAAAGACAATGGAACTGGCTGGATGTGGTAGTGCATGCCTTTATCCCAGCACTGGGAGGCAGAGGCAGGTGGATCCCTATGAGTTCCAGGTTAGCCAAGGCTAGTGAGACCTCATCTCAACAACAACAACAACAACAACAACAACAACAACAACAATTCTCCACTACTTTGGAGCCTGGAAGTCAGAAGCAAGCCGTCAGGAGGCTGGCTTTCCTCTCAGGTACTGGGTAACGTCCATCCCTGATTTTTCCAGCTTCTGTGGGAACTAGAGACCCTCTGACGTTCCCGGACTGGAAGCTTCTTTCCCCACCCCCACCTCTACCATTTCTTGGCCTTCATCCAGGGTATCTTTATCTGTCTTGGCTCCAAAAGGTCACCAGACACGTTGGACCTCAAGGCCACTCTACCCCAATATGATGTCATTGTAACACATTGACAATAAGCCAGTTTTCAAGTACGGGTTGCATTCTGAGATTCTGGGAAATGCATAGATTTCAGGTGGACACTATCCAACTCAAGACTAGCCTGGGCCTCGTGGACTAATTGTGATGTTTGAGAGGGCTGCCGGCCACAGCATCTTGTCTGGCAAAAGTGTCATGTTCTACAGAGGCCCTGTTACAACACTGTCTGCTCAGGATCCCCTCTGTCTTCTAGTCTCATTGGACATGAAAACCCGACTCACTCATTTGCTCAGTAACGATCTAGGTACCCAGGAAACAGTGACGAACATAGCCTCCTCCTGCCTGCTCAGAAAAATTAACTATACTTTTATTTCATGACAAATAAGACAACAGGACATTTTAAAATAATGAGTCCTCTTTTTGAGAATGAGGGTTCTCTCTATGTAGCCCAGGTTAGCCTCAAACTTGCCATCCTCCTGCTTCAGCCTTCTGAGTGCTGGATCCCTGGTGTGGACCATCACATCTAGCTTGAAATGCAGTATTTTAAACATTGCTAAGGGCTGATGGCAGGTGGGGGGGATTAAAATTCTAAGTGGGGAACCAATCAGGGAGAGGCCCTTCTTAGAACTGGTCACTCCGGCCAAGACAGGAGGAGATGAGACTGCCCTGTGCTTTGAGCAACAGTGTTCCAGGTGGAGGGCACAGCAAAGATGAGGCGCTCAGGCAGCGAGGCTGAGAAAGCCTAACACACCCATGTGGCTGGGCATTGTTTATAAGAGAAGGGGGACCGTATTCCAAATTCTTTCAAATTACCTCGAGGCAGGTGTCGCCACTATAGCCCTGTGGTCAGATGAGGAAATGGATACTCGAGAAGCTAGTGGCCTTGGCTCAGGCTACCCAGCCAGTCAGAGGTAGAGGTCTAGAAGCTTCCCAAGCCACACCTCCCAACACCCCTTGGTAACTTTTATGGTGCTCTGAGGAGCTGTGGTCTGCCTTCAGTGGCCTGTTCTCTCCAGGACCCCGAAGTCTGACCCTATGCTTCTCCCATTCAGGCCTGTGCGCTGGGAAGCCAACAGCATCACTCTGACATGGCGGGAGCAGCTCTCGGGCGAGGACCTCAGCAGCTTCATGGACCTGTACAGCGGTGGCCGGCAGCTGCAGATCTTCCAGCCAGCCATTTACAGATGTTTTGTGCAACAGGAACTGATAGCCCAGTTCAACCCCATAACCTCCGTGGATCTGCTGGAGGCTGAGAGTCAATCCAAGGGCCCAGGGCAGCGGCAGTTTGGGAAGGCAGACTCTGTTCTCAGGGGCCTGCAGTTGGTGCTGCTGATGGTCTCGGTACTGGTTGTGGGAGGGCTTCTCTGTAAGGTGGTCTTCCGTCCCATCCAAGGCAAGAAGAATCAGGTCCTCCTGGTGAAATAAACTGAGCCTTCTGGACCCAAGGCGACCTGGTCCCTCTCCACTATCTCATCCTTAGCTCTAGCCATCCGTGTCAGCCTCACACTAGCGCCCGGAGGTGTGTGAGCCAACACAGACCTGGATTAAAATCTAATGGCCACGCCACGCCTTGTTCTGTGCCTACTTGGTAAATCTATTGGTCATCCCATTGCACAGATAGGGAAACTGAGGCAAGACTGTCTAGTCATTGAAGAACTGGGACTCTGGGGTTCCTCAGAGAGAGGGAAGGAGGGGACCTTCTCAGGGTGTATGGTGTGACTCTCTCTGGGGAGGTGGGAACAAGCATCTCTCCATCCCAGATTGGACACTAATGACAGACTGAAGAAATGAATCCATCCAAGCCTGGTTTGTGCACTAGTGAGTTTATTGGGGTTCCTTACAGGAGAACGAATGAGGGGGTGCTCATATGAGTGAGGGTGACTGCAGATAAACTTCTAAACGGTCTTATTAAATAAAGCCTTAAAAATCAGGGAAATAGTGATAGCCACCAACCTTACCTCTCCAGTTCTACAGCTTCCAAAAGGGAGTGACTTTCTGTCTACCCGCGCCTTTATTGCCTTGCTGTTCTGCCCTCTCATTAGCTCTTAGCCCAGCTACCTCACTTCCTCGTCACTGCCTGTCTGTACAGACCTCCAGGTCTCTATGGTTGGTACAGGGATTAAAGGGCGTGTGTCACCACGCTTGGCTCTGTTCCCTAGTGTGTCCTTGAACACACAGAGACTCTGTCTGCCATGTGATCAGATTAAGGGTGTGTGCTGCCACTGCCTGACTTTTGTGTTTGCTTAATGGCTTGCTATTTCCTCTGATCTCCAGACAAATTTTATTAACATACAAATATCACCACATTTCAGCACAAATAAAATATCATGATATTTCCCCTTTTTTGTCTAATAAAAATAAAAAATAATAAAAAAGTTATAATTAATACAAGAAAACTATATACAATAAGTATAATAACTATATACAATATATACAAGCAATAAATACATCAACAATGTCTAGTCCATTTGCATTTGACAAATTCAGAAAAAATATTCCATTATCTATCCTATTTTGGTAAATCCAAAATGTACCTAATTCACTTTCTATCCTAACTTGTATTACCAACAGAAAACTATGATGTCTTTCAGACTTATACACTTAACACCTCTTAATGAGTTTCTTTTCTGAAATTTCTTAACAAGGGAAACTGTAACTACAACAACCTAATCTTAACTCCCTCAGAGACCCAAGAGGAAATAATATTACCTAGTAAAACAGGAAGTGCAAACAAGCGACTTCCAAAAAAATGTGAGTTGACAGAAACAGCCAGCTACCTGGACAGTCACCTGAGGTTTCTCTGCAACATTGGGGCATCATCTTCAGCCTATAGGCCTAGAGTATCTGACAGACTCATTTGTGAAGTAGGATGTACACAAGGCCTACAGCTTGACCTCACATTCGATGTGAGTATTCCCTGTACCAGATAAACTTGAATTCTGCCAATGTCCTGTCATGATTCAGGATTTTAAATTCTGGGAATTGCTGGTGTTTTTGGAATTCGGCTGCCTTATTCTTCTTGCTTGTATATGTGTAGCTTCATATCAATTTTGATGGTATCCACAGCTTATCTTCTCCTGTAGAAACAAAAGCAAAACCTCATCCCCACCATAACACATATCTTGGTTTCCATTCTGAGGTCAGCACATCTTTAAAGTATATAGGCTGATTTAATTCTGTAGTTTTTTTTTCTATTATCCAGTGTCTCTCCACAGCTGATGTTCCTTTCTCATTAGCATTGAGAAAATTCAAAGTTAATAGAGCATTATATAATCTATTTATGGGGGTTTTTGTTACCCCTTTCTGTTTATTTAGCATATCCTTTAGAATTTGATTTGATCTTTCTATAACTGCTTGGCCTGTAGGATTATGTGGTATACTTGTAATATGCTTTATATTGTAATAAGCAAAAAATTGTTTCATTTTAACAGAGACATATGATGGAGCATTGTCAGTTTTGATTTGTGCAGGTATACCCATGATGGCCATAACTTCTAGCAAATGAGTGATTACAGAATCAGCTTTTTCAGAACTCAAAGCAGTTGCCCATTGAAATCCTGAATAAGTACCAATGGTATGGTGTACATACTTCAATTTTCCAAATTCTGCAAAGTGAAACAGATCCATCTGCCAGATTTCATTCCTCTGAGTACCCTTTGGGTTACATCCTGCTGGTAATGGCGTCTGATTGTAAAAGGAACAAGTAGGACATTTCCTTGGCTTGTTGACAGTTATGGAAAAATCCTTTTTTAAACCTTTGCTATTGACATGTTTTTTATGAAATTCTGAGGCCTCCAGCATATTTTCTACCAATAATTTATCAATCTCATCATTACCTTGTGCTAGAGGGCCTGGCAGACATGTATGGGATCGGATGTGAGTTAAATATAAAGGATGACTCCTTTTCCTGATTATATCTTGTAACTGAATAAATAGTGAAGTTAATTCTGACTTATCAGGGATAGATTCTGCAGTCTCAATATGTAATACCACTCTTTTAGCATACTGAGAGCCAGTAACTATGTTGAGAGATTCTGAAAAATCCATTAATACCAACAGAATAACATACAATTCCAATTTTTGAACTGAATTATAAGGACTTTGAACCATTTTACTTAAATTTTCTAATTTGTAACCTGCCTTTTCTTGTTTGTTTGCATCTGTATAAAATGTACAAGCTCCAAATATGAGTGTTTCCCATACAATGCAAGGCAGAATCCAATCAGCTCTCTTTATAAGTTCAATTCTATTGCTTTTGGGATATTTGCTGTTAATCTCTCCCAAAAAATTACTGCAAGCTCTTTGCCAAGGTTCACTTTCTGCCCATTATTTGTCAATTTCCTCCTTAGTTAAAGATACGACAATTTCTGCTGGGTCTACTCCTGCTAATTGACCAAATCTCAAATTTTCTTTTAAAATCAAGTCAGAGATCTTTTCCACATAAGTTTTTAATTTTTTACTCTGTTTATTTGGTAGAAATAACCATTCCAGTATAATATCTTCCCTCTGCATTAAAATTCCTGTAGGAGAATGCCTAGATGGTAAAATAACCAAAATTCAATCCAGCTTTGGCTCCACATGATCCACATGTCCTTCCTGTACTTCCTTTTCCACCAAGGCCAGTTCTCTCTCAGCTTCAGCTGATAATTCTCTTGGACTATTTAGGTCCTTATCACCTTCTAAGGTTTTGAACATATTACTCAGTTCATCATTTTTTACTCCAACAATAGTTCGTCGATGGGAAATGTCTCCGAATAATCTTTGAAAGTCATTAAGAGTCTGTAATTGATCTCTCCTAATTTGCACCTTTTGGGGTCTAATTTTTTGTAGACCTACTTTATATCCTAAATAATTAATAGAATCTCCTCTTTGTATCTTTTCAGAAGCAATTTGTAATCCCTAACAGGCAAAATTTTCTTTACTTCAAACATTCTTTCTAATGTATCTGCATTTGAGTCAACTAGTAAAATATTATCCATGTAATGATAAATTATAGATTTAGGAAATTGTTTACATATTACTTCCAATGGCTGTTGTACAAAATATTGACACAGGGTTGGGCTATTCAAAATTCCCTATGGGAGAACCCTCCATTGCTATCTCTTAACCAGTTGAGAATTATTATAAGTAGGCACTGTGAAGGCAAATCTTTCTGTCTTTTTCTTGTAAGGGTATTGAAAAGAAACAGTCTTTTAGAGAGAGAGAGAGAGAGAGAGAGAGAGAGAGAGAGAGAGAGAGAGGGAGACCCATAAGCAGTCCAGCCACTCACAGCTATGGCCACTTGCAGCTGTGGCCCAGGGCAGCTCTGGCTGAGTGTAGCCCAGATTGCTTGTAGCTCTGGCTGAGCCTGGGGGCTTGTAAGCTCCGGCCAAGCCGGGGACCTGTAACCCCTGGCTTGTAAGGCAACCAGTGTTTTTTTTTAATGAATTCTTGCCATGTGAGTGCCAATTGTAGATAAATTTCTAAACGGTCTTATTAAATAAAAAACATGGAGCCAGGTATAGGGATGAAAGCCTTAGAGATCAGGGAAATAGTGATAGCCGCCAACCTTACCTCTCCAGCTCTGCAGCTACCAAAAGGTCCAGCATGGATGATGTCACTCATGAGGCCCAGCATAGGTGATGTCATCAGACCTGGCATAGGTGATGTCATCAGGCTTAGCACAGGTGATGTCATCAGGCCCAGCATAAGTGATGTCATACATGAAAGCTGCTTTCTTAAACTTTCTGTACAACTTGTAGACAGCTCCACCAGAGCATCCTCTTCCCCCAGAGAATGGCTACTGCTTGTGCAACCATGGGGAGGCTCTTGTGACTCATGGAACTTTCCAAGCTTCCTGAGCCTTGTATATCCTCTCTGCTTCCTGAGTCTTTTGGGCCTCCCGTTCCCCCTCCCAAAAGGAACATGTCAACCAGAAAGGAGTATTAATAGCTTCACAACAGGTGTCTTTATTGTCTTGTATATTGTGGCCTCTTCATCAACCCTCTCTCCCAAGGGTAAGATGGAGGACACACATGGGCATCTCCCAGGCACCCCAGGTCTGCACTGGTCCCCTGATGCCTTTCCCTGCTTGTCCCTCAGGACATCTTCCTCTATTGTGCCACAGCCTCAGACTCAGTCACACCTGCCTGCATCCCCTTAGCTTAAACATGTTATTGTTCCAGGCTCTTGTGGTGAGGGGAGAGCCCTCCAGTGCTGCACTGGGGCATGATACTGGGCCCTGCTCAGCTGATCAGCAGGAACAGCTGGGCCTGGCTGTTCCCAGAAACTACACACACGATTTAGCAGAACACCAGAGCAAGACATGAAATATTAATGCCTCTTAAGACTCATTGCCCTAAATTTGCATGGTGAAGTCCTGACAGGGCATACAGGAAGGGCTCCCAGGGCAGCACGTGGGCCCAGGAAGACAGGGTAGAGCTCCCCCCATGTACCGCACACCAAAGGCTTCACGTTATACCCGCAGATGTAAAGGTTCCTGCAGAATGAGAGAAGGTTCCCCTAGAGTCAGTTGGGACTGGCTGGGAGGCAGAAGCTGAGCATAACAATGATTAAAAATAGTCAATATTTTTGGCCCTCCTCATGTGTCAAAATGCAGACTTTCCATTAACATCGTGTCCCCACAAGCCACCACTATTAGCCTCCTTTTGTTTCAAAGCTGGAAACAGTAAGCACAGACGGTCCAAGCAACTGGCCTGAGGTCACACAGTGAGTTTGGGGGGGAGGGCAGGTGATGGGTCATTCAAAAGAGATCTCGGGAGCTGGAGAGATGGCTCAGTGGGTAAGAACGTAAGGAACTGGGCTGGTCTCATATTAAAAACAAAGGTGTGTGTGGCCATTGTGCACCAATAATCGCAGAGTGGGGCTCAGGGTAGACAGGAGGGGTCTTGGGGTTTGCTGGATGTCATCTTATCTCCTGGTTCAGTGAGAGACCTTGTCTCTAGGGAATGAGACAGAGAATGAGAGTGATAGAGAAGGACACGCAGTGTCCCATGCACATGGGCACACACATCTGTACACACAGACACTGTGCAAAGACACACATACACCTGCACATACACACCTGTACACACACACCTGTACACACACACACCTGCATATACCCCTGCACACACACACACCTGCACATACACACACACACCTGCACACACATACCTGCACATACACACCTGCACATACACACCTGTACACACACAAACCTGTACACAAACCTGTACACACATACAAACCTGTACACACACCTGC